GATTTAAAAGTAGCCTCAGCAAACACTTTATGATCAAATATAACAGGTATTTAGAGTCAAATAAGGGTGAAAACTTATTTACATTCATACTTTAAGCACAAACATCTTGTTTTCTATTTAGTTAAATTAGTTTAGCTTTTATTTCTCCAATAATAGATCTAAGTTTTTATTCTAGATATTGGAAATCTATTTTGTCTTTAAAAAAATATGCAGAAGAATTAACAGAACATTCTATAAAGTAAATAATAAAGAAATAAGTTGTTCTTTCTGCAGAACTGTTCTAATAATTGGAACCAATACCTTCAGAAATGTGGGTTAGAACTCGCAGCTCGGTCCGAATGGATCTGTGTTGTTTTATCTTGTTTTTTTAAGCAGAGTGTTTCAGTTTGTTTCTGTTAGAACCGTTTCTGTCTTCATGTTTACATCTGAATTAGCTGCATGAACTCACTTGAGCCAGACGAGCGCTACCAGCTGGATGTTTTTCTGCACGGTTGGCAGCACTGATACTGCCTGGGCGGGAGGGGCAGCAAGGTTTTCACATTTGATAGAAGATATAATGTCTGCTGGAACTACAGGGCTGGGAATAAGAGCTGAGCTCAAACAAACTGATTCAAAAAGAGCCGATAACCTGATACACAGCCTGAGAAAACTGCATCATCCTCAGCTGCTGTGCACCAAACTACAGCTTTTTTTCTAAAATGTGTTTATTTTAGCTGAGAAAAAAATGACCCCATAGGAGAAGCAGAATGCATGAAAACCTAAAACATGTCCACACTGAGTGCGCTGCTGGCCCAACGAGGCTTTCTGAAGCTTTTAACAAAAAAGGCTCAAAGCTTTTCAACACAGGTTTCTTTGGTGACCTCTAGTGGCCAAAAGTATGAAGCACAAGTGGAAGATAATTTGAAGCACGGGAAACCAATGAATAATCATCTGGGTCCGAATTAAGAATGTCATCAACCAGTAAAGGTCCGGAGACATTTTTAATTATAATCTGTTACTTTAAACACAGTTTAACACTTAAATAAAGTGAGGTTTTTATGCGTCCATGTTATACAATCTTTTAATAAAAAAAATATAAAAAAAAAAAAAACAAATCTTTTCTTTTTAAAATCTAAGGTGTTTTTTGAAGTAGAGAACAACAATTGTTCAGTTTGGTTTATAGACAATTTCCTGATTCAGATATTTTATAGAACCCCTGAACTGAGCGTTTGTTATATTTCTTTCATTCCTTTCTTTTTTCTGTCTTAATGTTGGCAGTGGGCTTTATGCTGCCCTGCAAGGCTTTAAACCTGGGTTTGAATGGAGACTAAGCCATTCTCAAGCACATATCAAGGTGCTCATTTTGAGCCTGGATCCAGATTTATTGTTGATTCTGTTCATGGTGGAGAATCCTGCTTCACAGCAGCAGGTTGAGCCAAACATCCTCTAAATGTTCAGGGTCATCTTTGAGCACCATTTCACTTTTCTTTCACCAGTTCACCACAGTTCTTCCAGCAGTCCACACTTTCTCTGCTCTCGTTTTCTCACAGCAGCAGCCCAGACTTATGGAAGCAAATCGTTACCATGTTTAAAATGAAAATGCTTTTCCATTTTACGAATGTAGCTGCATTGTTTGACTCATAAAGGAAATTAGTAATCCATCATCCTATTTGCATTTGCATTTTCTTCTTTAACACCGCTCATCCTTTTACTTACCGTAATTAAAATTTAAAAGAAAAAGACATTTGAGATTTATTTTTCAAAATGTACCCCAGCAAATACATACCAAAATTCAATTTGAAATGTAATGCTTTTTCATTTTCAAATTTTACATTTTTGGAAATGCTTTTTCATTTTAAATACGGTAACGATTTGCTTCGATACAGACTGACAGCAGCTCATTGGCCATTATATGTAGCCTGGTCCCGGACGCTCAAGATGGCTTTAACATGTAAACAGCAAAAGCGGTGCAAGTGAAGTTAGACACTGCTGTTGGACAACATAAATGTTTTAAATCAGGTTGAGTCTGGATTAGCCAGCAGGTGGGTCCGGATCAGGACTGCGGTCCGCTAATCCATGACCTCTATATTTAATGTTATAGTGGAACTTATTTAGCAAATTTTTTAAAAGACCCGCCCTCTCCACTTTAAAAAAAAAAAAACAAATGCATAAACCTGCACCTGCTCCCTAGAGGCAACACCTATTCAAAGCGCGTAGGAGCGTGCACAGGTCCATTTGTCCTCATGCATGCTCCATTTAAAAGTTGCCTTTTGCATCTTTCATACAAGCTTACTCTCTAAAAGAAGATTAGTAGTTTTTCCACCATGTCAGACTCACCACCAGAATGATTAACAATTCCAACCTGAAAAAAGAACATCCTCCACTTTACCTTTAAATAAGCAGCTTGATTATGATTGGCCAGTTTTCAAAGCTGAACTGATGGCCTCCATTTATTTGATCATTCTGTCTGATATGGCCAATCATTTCTGCTGCTTTTGTTGATGTCTATTTATTAAAAATCATTTTATAGCTGTTTTTTTTTCCATATCTGCAACAGTTTGGTCTGATATTTTGTTGTTTTCTAAATTTAGTAGAAAAAATTAAACCCAAATTGTATTTATATCCTGGGAAAAAAGGTCCTTCTTTTGACATTTATCTATATTCCAGTTATTTTCATATAACAGACAGACGGACAGATCGATCTATGGTCTGCTGACCTGCAGAACCCTGAAGGCACAGGCCTGGTTCTGGTAGGACCCCTGCAGTGTCAGGGAGCTCCACAGCTTCACCAAACCTCTGAAAAAGGAACAGACACATGATGGGAGATCAACCCAGCTGAAGCCTCTGAATGTGCTGCTGACGTCCCTCCATGACACGTACCTGCTTTGAACACGCAGCAGAGCGGTCAGCGTTTCCTCCTCGTACTTCAGCACACCGACGTCTAACGCGGCTCCAACCTGAGGCCCATTCATATAAAAACATCAGAAGAAACATCAGGATCTGGGCGCCTCAAACGTGCAACGTGAATGAGTCAAAAAAACGTATCTTCTTTAACATCTTCTCACCTCTCCATGCAGACCCTTCAGGCAGGTGATGATGAAGCTCTTCAGTTCTACAGAGCTCACTCTGCATGTCTCATCCTCCAGCAGCCTGAACACACAACATGAGCTCTGGTTGGATCTGACTTAAAGCAGAGAAACAAAGACTGACAGCTGTTTTAGCAAACAGAGACTTACAGGCGGACTTTCAGGTAGTGATGCGGTGAAGCGTTCTTCAAAACGACTCGTTGGTAACCAGAGGATTCTGCCTTCGTGTCGTTTGGACTCATTCTACTTTCCATTTCATCTTTCTACAGCCTGAAGAATAAGAAGAAACGATGATCACCAGGGAAAATTTCTAGATTAGAAATTAGTTTTAAACCTTTAACTGCATTTGCAGTACCTCCATGAGCCACTAGGAGTCAGAATCTCCACTTTAAAGACAACCCATCCAGATAAAAGGAGTTCTATAAGATCCAAAGGTTGTTTTAAAAAAAGACAGGGGAGTTTTAAATAACCCAGCTCACACCTGAAATATGTGTAATCTAACTGAAAGGTAATTTTAGGATTAATTTAGGTCTTTTAAGTGGTTGTGACATGTAAGAGATTATTGCGATATTATCTCTGACTTGTCTTTAATGTGATTAAAACGAGATCTAAGGCGCCTCCTATTCATTCTGACAGCAGCGGTCTGAACTGTGGTCTGATCCAAGATGGCCGCCCTATAGGCTCATCGACCAGCGTCCATTGAGGCAAGAGATTCACATTTGAGGTGAATACATTTTGCTGAATAAAAGAGTCTCCTAAAGTATTCTGGTCTAAATTAAACATTCAGTTATCACAACTGATCATATTTCTAATTTTGAAAATGTAATATTTAGACTCTAGATTGACAGCCTAAGTTGGTATTTTTTATTTTTTTAAATATTAATTGCAGTATATGGAAAGCCATCTCGCCTTCTTACATTTTTTAAATGATTTTTAGATTATCTTCTATCAAAACAATGAAAACTAAAAAAACTACCAGGAAAGATGCCTTCAAAGGTCCAAATACTTCATTTCTAACATGCCTTTATTTTCCTTCTCTTTCTCCTAGCATTTTTATGCAGTTCCTTATTCCCCCATAGATGCTCTTCTATATTCTATAGCAGGGGTCTTTGAGGTTTTCCAGGCCAAGGACCCCAAACTGATGGCGATGGAGCAGGGACCCCCTAATTATATATATTGTATGAATCTGTGTTCTATCAAACTGGTCCTATAGTTGCTCTGTTACAGATGAAGTAATGTAACTAAAGTAATCCCTCCCTGGGATTATTAAAGTATTTCTGATTCCTGGTTGATGGGACAGGTGTTGTGAATGAAACGGTGTCCAGCTTGAAAGAGCTCCTGTGTGTCACTGAATGTGTGCATTGATGACTGAAAGACTGTTGAATTCATGCTGTGGATTTAAATACATTTCAATTAGTGGAAAAAATTGCAGGGGGGAAAAATAAAAAAAGTCTAATCAACCAAAACTTTCACAACCCCCATGCAGTACCTCTGTGGACCCCCTAGGGGTCGCAGACCCCCTGTGTTAATGTGTATTTTTATATCACTTAAGATATATCTTGAACACTGCAAATATTTTTGTTTCAATTTTGTTTATTTCATAAAGAATGATTAGAAAAAAATAGCTCCAGTACCTGTGCTGAACAAAACCCTTGTTATCAGATCTAATTGTAAAAATAATTCATATTTTACTGTATTTTTGTGAATATTAAAGCATTTCTTGTTGCAGTTTTAGGAATATTTTTAGCAGTAATTGCTGTCCTGAAAAGTCGGACAGTAGCTACTGTAGCCTAAGGACACTTCCTCCTAGTAAACACTTCATATAGGGTCGTAGGGTTTAGTGTGAGTATTTGGACTGTGCTCATTAAAACACCCTGAACTCTCTCTGACGGTCAAACTGAGGTCACTTCCTTTGACCTTAGGAAGCTTTCAGAGGATCAGAGGAGAAACGCGGAGCTGCTAAACCATCGATCAGATCAGATTCCTCTGACAGGAGGCAGGGGAGATGTCTCTACTCACCGTCTACAGCTCCAGAACACAGCGTGCTTTCTCTGCCGCCATCAGTGATCCACGCATGCGCACTTAGCTGACATATCTTTGTGATGAAGAGGTGTCACTCTGACAAAGATGCCGAACTTCCTGGTTACGTTTAATCGTGTTTTTCCACTGATAGCGAATTTGAACCCATTATTTTATTGAACAATTTAGATTAATTTAACATTGTGTTATCAATATATTGTTAAGCCAAAATCACATTCGGCTTATTTATTCAATATTCAATGTATTTTGACACGAAATAACTTTAATGCTAATTTCGTCTAAACTATTAACAAAAGACAACACTCGCAACATTTAGACATAAAACAATATCGCTTGATTACTTTAAAACATTATTTAAGAGTTAATTTGTCGTTTTAACGCTAGATTATGCATTATTACTGGAAAAGAAAGGAGTGGTACATCTTGAAGCTTTAGTCTACTCTTTGGTGGCCCTGGTGAAATGGTAGGTGGGGCTGCCCTCTGGTGGCCAAATGATGTTACCGCACGCAATACAGAAAAAAAACTCATTTTTTAAACTGTTTTAATTCTTACTCTTGAAACTCTTGAAAATGTTAATGCGCATTTATTATTTGCATTAATTGTTCAACTGATACATTAACTTTGTTGAAGTCTAACAAACACAAACATTCAACAATAATAATTAAAAATAAATATTACAGGAATCAGTTACCCTCAGTTCCAAGTTCTATGCTTTGTTCAAGTTTTTTAAGGGATAAATACCTAATTGATTAATGTAGAAGTTATTCCCTAAAAAAAATAATCATAAAAAAAAACGGAGACTGTTTTTCCAAAAAACAAAGGTAAAAAACCTCTGGAATGTCATCTATAACAAATATCAGCCAGATTTGTGCGGTTAAATTAAAACAAGTGCATATAAGTCTCAAACAACACTATAAGTCATTTTAATTGTGCCAAGTTAAAGTTCATCCTCCAGTTTGAGCTCCATCATCCATCCATCCATCCAGTAAGATGTTCCTTAAGCATGTTTCTTTGCTTCACTGATCACAAAGTCCATCATAAGTTTAGCTATTTTTCTTGGCCTCTCCAAGGCAACAGAATGGCCGCAGTCGTCCAACACGTCCACCTGGCAGTGCTGCAGCGCCTTCTGGATCACAGCGGCTCCTGAAACATCCAGGACCTGAGAGACAAAGACGGGCAGCTTAACTACAGTTACTGTAGAGAGGCCTTGGATGTGTGCACACTTAAACACACTTACTGGTAAAGAAGAATCACATCTATAGCAAAATATGTTCTTCAAACAATGAGCCATGCTGACTAGGATCTAATTCTCAGCTCTGATTTTTTACATTTGCAGAGATTTTATCAAAATCTTCACTGTGACTTGGTTCAGATTTTTCTTCAGTGTTCAGATTTTATAAAAACACGTTATAATTTAATGTATTTGGACCTAAATGTATTTTCCTGTAGATTTTAATTATGGAAGAGGATAAGGGCCACTGAAAAAAAAAATGTTAAGATGTTTTTTTATATATTATTTCAGTTTAATATGGTAAAGAAAATTCAGATTTCTGACTTTTTTTCTCGAATTCTGACTGAATTCTGACAGCTAACAAACATGTTAGCATCAAGCCGTAGCCATGTCTGTTTTAGAGACTGACAGCTAACAAACATGTTAGCATCAAGCCGTAGCCATGTCTGTTTTAGAGACTAGCTCTCTTGTTTTAATCACCTTCAGCTCTTCCATTAATGAAATAGCATCACCAGGGACCCCTCAGGCATGTAAAAACTCATCTTATTACGTCATTTTCCACTAATGTGTTACTGTTCCTCCCAAAAAACTCACATCTTTGTCAGTGCAGCTAAGTGTTCCCACATCTCTTCCTTCATTGTGGCCATCTAAACTAAGATCCAAAATTCTGAGATTTAAGTCAGAATTCTGAGCAAAAAGTCAGAATTCTGACTTTTTTCCCATATCAAATTGAAATAAAATTTAAAAATCAGTTAACTTTTTTGTTATATTTTCAGTGGCCCTAATCCTCTTCCGTATTTCATTTCAGTCAGCGTTTATTTACTTACCTGGTCGTGCTTCCCCCAGACGACCTGCAGGGGCGCTGTGATTAGATGCAGATGTTCCTGCAGTGAATGGCGCGACTTCTCTCCTACGATCTCCATGAACACTAAATGCAAACATTTCATGTTAGCACAAATTAAACCAACTAAAAACTAAAAACAAATAAAGAGAAACCGACTCTCCAAAAACAGTATCTGAAAAAAACCTTAATGATGCAAATTACTGTTTGGATCCATTGTTAAAGTTGTTGTTGTTTTTTTTTTATTAAAACTCTGCCAGTAAGGAGAAGTGCTTTGGATCAGTTGAAGAATTTGTACTTAATACTGGATGATACTTTTCTCTTAATTACATGGGAAGAGTAAAACAAAAACATTTTATAAATTTCCTCCTGTTTTTTTAACAAAAAAACATTCAAACCCAGGCCTATTCCCTCATTTTTAATCACAGAGCACAAACATGTAGCCATGCATGACGGCTTTTCTTACAGACTCATATTGCAATATGATACGCACAGTTTATTTAATGAGATCAGGAAAGTGTACATAAGAATAGGGAATGGAGGGAATGTGAAGGAATGTGAGACAAACACAGGCTAACCGTTCCACCAGGATGATAGCAGGCGTAGACTTTGAAGTTAGGCCACAAGAACTTAAGCTATAAAATGTTATCTTCATAAATAACAAAGTTTATGTTTCATAAAGTTACTATAGTGAGTTAGGTTTTGCTTTAAGAAACTAAACTCTATGTAGAGCCTTAAACTGTGCAATGCTAACTGAGCCTAGAACAGGGAGTGTTATTATTTACTCTTTGTAAAACTCAGTGCTTCATCCACATCTTCTCTTAAGTCATTAATTTTTAAATAATTAATTCAATGATTTATTCTCAAAGATTCTTTTTCTAAATTACTCCTCATGTATCTTTGAAGGGATTGCTGCGCAGCTCCTGTTTCATCTCTCTGTGGACGTCCAGTGTTGACGTAATGACTTGCAAATCAGTTAGATGGACAGTTTATCATGAGAACATCTGTGTTTATGTTAGATGTAGGAAGACCATTTAACTTCCTGTTGTTACCTTATTTGGATTGGAGCCAGATGTTAAGTTCTCTACTGATACAGATAGATTATTCTGATACGTTCAGGTAGCATCCTCATAGGAAGGTGCTTTATTATAAATAGAATAGGATAAATACCTCAGCCCCAGACATCTGATCATGTTTGGGGCTGAGGTAAAATCTTTATCTCTATTTTGTGCTTATTTTCAATTATTATTTTACACCTAAAGGGAATAAATTCTGGGCTGCACGGTTACACAGTTTGCTGCGCTGCAGCAAGAAGGTTCCCGGGTTCGATTCCATGGTCCATGGTCTTTCTGTATGGAGTTTGCTTGTCCTCCCTGACACTGACGTAACTTTCTGAGGGACTGGTGTGGACATGTCCTCACCAACCCCAGTTACTGCTGATTGACTTTAGCCAGCAGTAACTGGGGTTACAGCTCTGCCGCTGCTTCTCCAGTCCCACCTCTCGGTGATCCATCATCGGATCTATAGCTTTGGGACATTCACTGCATACAAAGTAGCAACGAGGATGAAAAGAGATACGTATATGGCAAGCCAAATTGACAGACAATCAGTTTTGTCTGAACCTTTCTGGCAAGCCGTTTTAGCATTAATTTGCAGCAGTACTCAGTG